GATTGATAACATTTCTCTCTTGTCAACATTTCTATCTCTCTACCCTTCTCCAAAAAATTAATAAAAACATTTATAAAAAAATTTTTTTTTAAATTTGATTGATTTTAGAGGGGAAGGAGGAGGGAGGAGAGAGAGAGAAACAGCGCATTGTCCCCCTTACTTGTGCATCATTGGTTCAATCTTGTGTGTGCTCTGACCGGGGATCAAGCCCACACCTTGGAGTATCAGGATGGTGCACTAAGCAACTGAGCTACCCGTAGGCCAGGGCTGTTTATTTTTATCTCACTTGATACATTCTAACGTTTTGTATAATTAACTTATTGTGTTTATTGTTTGCCTCTGTTCCCTCCCACCTTCCTCATTCCCCCTCAAAAATGAAAAGAAAAGTAAGTTCCCCAAGAGCAGAGAATTTTTCTTTCTTTCTGCTTGTTCACAGATGTATCCCAAATGCCTGTAACAGTGTCTGGTATTTGGTAGGTACTCGATACTTGTTGACTGAACGAGTAATTGACAGGAGATGAGGCTTTAAAGGTAGATTGGTGGCTGGTTGTAAAGATCATTGTGGCCCTTGCTGGTTTAGCTCAGTGGTTGAAGCTTCGGCCCTTGGACTGAAGGGTCCCAGGTTCAATTCTCACCAAGGGCACATCAGCTGCAGGCTTGGTCCCCTGCCCCAGTTGGGGCGCCTGCAGGAGGCAACCAATCGATGTGTGTCTCTTACATCTATGTTTCTCTCTCTCCCCCTCCCCTTTCCACTCTTTCTGAAAAGCAATGGAAAAAATATCCTTGGGTGAGGATTTAGAACAAAAAGTTCCTTTACCTTATACCCAAAGCTCTGGGAGAGGAGATATTATGGGGAAAAAACCTGCTATGTAGTTTTGGACACATAACTGTAAGGAGGGCCGCATCGACTTTCCAAAAGGACAGACCAGTTTTTAGTGGAAATCGTCCAGGAGTCTCAAGAGAATGGTTGGGGCTGGGATACTATTAGGGGGCATACTAACTGGGGAGACTATAGGAGTGATAGAATCTAGTTGTCTAATCTAGTTTTTCGCAAAGCCTTTTTTTTTTTTTAATGTATATATCTTTATTGATTTCAGAGAGAGGAAGTGAGAGGGAGAGGTAGAAACATCAATGATGAGTCATTGATTGGCTGCCTCCTGCACTCCCCCCACTGGGGATCGAGCCCGAAACCCAGGCATGTGCCCTTCGATCTCCTTGATCCTAGGTTGATGCTCAACCGCTGAGCCATGCTGGCCGGGCTACCTATTTATTAAACTCACTATTCTAGGCCTCTTTCCCTTCCCCCTTTTCCTCTTCCTCTGATTCCTCCCTGGCTGGCTGCCCTAAGCCACTCTTTTTCTCTGCTGTTCTCTGGCAGCCTCCTTCAGCTCCTTTGTCTAGTGTGGCCCTTGGCAGGCTGGGTTGGGGAGTGGATGAGGCATTGGTCTAGTGTAGAAAGCCTGGCTATGCTACTCATTGTGTGTGACCTTGAACAAGTCAGAACTTTCATTCTTTCAGTAATAGTGTGTGTTTTTAATTTTAGAGGAAGGGAGAAACATCGATTTGTTGTTCCGCTTATTTTTGCATTCATTGGTTGATGCTTGTATGTGCCCTGACTGGGGATCAAACCCACAACCTTGGCATATCAGGATGATGCTCTAACCAACTGAGCTACCCGGCCAGGGCATGGTGATTATTTTCAAAAGGAATTCATTGGTGCTTCTGGAAAACCATGTTGCCTGCACCAGGTGCTTTGTTGGTCAACATGTTCTGGGTTCAAGATTTCGGCCTTTTAAGTTGTTCTGTGACCATGAACTTAGCCTCCTGGTGTGGAGTAGGGCAGTAGGGTGGAGGAGGTAAACAAGTCATTTATTTACAAATGGATGAGGCCATGTCTCATCTCTTTGTTTCTCCTCTGCAGGGACAGAACCTGAGCAAACTGTAGAGCTCGGAAAATCCCAGCAGGCCCTTTTGGTCTGAGTAGTAACCGCTAGTAACTCCCACTCTGCCCTCCCTGCCAGAGATGTGCATGTGGGAGAGATGCTGGCTGAGGACTCCTTGGCTGATACTGTTTTTCTGTTGGCTCTTTCACCAGGACATTAATAGCCTCAACAAACAAATTGCCCAGCTTCAAGATTTTGTGAAGGCCAAGGGCAGCCAGAGTGGCCGGCACCTGCAAACCCATTCCAACACCATTGTGGTCTCCCTGCAGGTGGGACCTGGGTGTGGGAGACGGGGAGATAAAAGGGAATAAGGTATTGTCTTCCTTTGCTGACCCTCTCTCTTTTTCTTCTAGTCAAAGCTGGCCTCCATGTCCAATGACTTCAAGTCAGTTTTAGAAGTGAGGACAGAGGTGAGTAGAATCTGTGTAGGAGGGATAGGAATCTGGGGGTGAGGGTCCAAGAGAGTAATGGAAAAGAGACTGGTAGAAGGGTAAGGGGAGGGCATAGGGTCATGGGCTGACAGGAGGGATCTTTTTAACATGCCTGCTTTTCAGAGGCCTCAGGACCTTTGCATTTCTTCCCCAACCCCAGAACCTGAAGCAGCAAAGGAGCCGGCGGGAGCAGTTCTCCCGAGCACCCGTGTCGGCCCTGCCCCTTGCCCCCAACCACCTGGGTAAGTCACAGGCCACATAGGAGTCCTGAGGGGTAAGGCTTAGTTACTCTGGATGTGATGGCATATTTTAAGGGCAGGGGTTCGGTCGGAGAATGAAGGGGCAAGGAAGCTGCTAGGCTTTATCTCTCAAAGGTCAGCCTGGTTGCTGGCATTCAGGATCCACCGTTAGTCTCCCACATTCTCACTGCTGGGGATGAATTCAGTCATGTTCAGAAGAATAACAGTTACTAATATTTTTTGTGCACTCACTTTATTCACATTCTCTTATATAATTTTCACAACCACCTGTTGAGAAAACTATTATTATCCCCTGTTTTACAGGTGAGGAATCTGAGGCTCAAAAGGGGTTAAATGACTTGCCCAGGGTCACAAGGCTAGTAAGTGGGATTCAAATCCAAAGCCTGTGGGTTTTGAAGCTACTTTTAACCAATAAAAAAGTGCCATGTCTTCTTTCTTTCTCCAGGGGGTGGTGCTGTGGTTTTGGGGGCAGAGTCCCGTGCCTCTGGGGATGTAGCTATCGACATGATGGACTCTCGGACCAGCCAGCAGCTACAGCTCATTGACGAGCAGGTACCCAGGTTCTAAGCTGCCCCTCTGTTCTCTGTGGGCCACAACCAAGTGTTTGGAATGTGCCATGGGTGAAATGGCAAGCTAGGAGGATCCTAAAGAGGCAGACCATACCCTAAAAAAGCTCCCAGTGCTCATATGCACTCTCTCTCCTCTGAAGGATTCCTACATCCAGAGCCGGGCAGACACCATGCAGAACATCGAGTCCACAATTGTTGAACTGGGCTCCATCTTCCAGCAGTTGGCACACATGGTTAAGGAACAGGAAGAAACCATTCAGAGGTGAGACTCTTTCTCACTTCAGAGGAGCTTTCTCTTCCTTGTAGGTGGTTGGCATTCTAAAGGTCCCCAGGAACAGCCCTTTGGAAGAGTACAGTGAATCCTGCCCACCCACAGGGCCCAGTTCACCTGCCTTCATGAATTCAACATGTGTTTGTTGAGCACCTGTTCCATGTCAGGCACTGTTCTAGGTCCTGGGTAGAAGAAATGAGTAGAACAGCAAAGTCTCTATGTCACAGAGCTTAAGGTCTGTAATACATATATGGAATTCATATGCATATTCTGTTAAAAAGAATTGACAAATTTTTAGGCAGTGAAAGGACTATATAGAGAGTTACAGTAGAATGATGTGTTAAGAAAGTGACTGACTTAAAAAAAGAAAGTGACTGACTAGCCTGGCCAGTGTGGCTCAGCAGTTGAGCACTGACCTATGATCCAGGAGATGGTGGTTCGATTCCCGGTCAGGGCACATGCCCGGATTGTGGGCTCGATCCCCAGTAGGGGGTGTGTAGGAGGCAGCCGATCAATGACTCTCTCATCACTGATGTTTCTCTCTCTTTCTCTCCCTCTACTTTCCTCTCTCTGACGTCAATAAAAGACATATTTTAAAAAAACAAAGAAAGTGACTTACTATAGGTGAGGAAGACCATGATGTTGATTGAAGCAGAGACGTGAATGACAAGAGGGATCCAAACATACAAAAAAGAGAGAGTATTCTAGGCAGTGTGGACAGCTAGTGCAAAGGCTCTGAGATGGGACATTTTTGATGTATTCAAGAATCAAGAAGACCAGTATGGCTAGGAAGTAGTGAGCAGAGACAGAGAGGTACAGAATGAGGCCAAGGGAGGTAGGCACAGCCCACCCATAGGAAGGCCTCTCTGCTCCTCTGGTGCCACCTGCTGCTGTAAGAGGCGTTTTATCAGCTCCGCTCCTCTCCTCTTTGGCACTTAGCATTCATTCATTGTGTTATGGCAGCGATTTTCAACCCATGTGCTGCAAGAATTTTTAAAACATGCAATACCTGACTAGTCAGGGACACTGACCTCTTTTCCCTTAGATTGCCAAATAAAAAAATAACAGCCAACACAACATAGCCATTCACTGTAAATGAATCAAAATTATACCTATTTTTTTATCGGATTGGCAAAAAATAGATTTTTTTGTTGTGCCACAGAATTTTAGTATTGGTTTATGTGTGCTGCAAAATGAAAAAGGTTGAAAATGACTGGGTTATAGAGATACAGATACAGCCTTGGACAAAATAGATAAAGATCCCTGTCCTTGTAGAACTTATAGCCTAGTAGGGTAGATCGATTATTAAAAATACACGTAGTAAGTAAGTGGACCAGTATATATTTTTGCCCAGTGATAAATGCTACAAATAAAAGTAGAGGAGAAAAAAAGTAGAGTAAGATAGCCTGGCTGGTGTGGCTCAATTGGTTGAACATTTCCATGAACCAAGAGGTCATCAGTTTAGTTCCTAGTCAGGGCACATGCCCAGATTGCAGGCTCAATCCCCAGTAGGGGGCATGCAGGAGGCAGCCCATCGATGTTTCTCTCTCCCTCTTCCTTTCTCTCTCCCTCTCAAAAAAAAAGTAAGATAAACTAATCTGGAGTGCTAGTAAACTAATTTGGAGTGCTAGTTTTAAAGGGGCAAGTTGCAATTTTTTTTTTTTTGAGAGGGAGAGAAAGATATCTATTTGTTCTACGTATTTGTTCATTCACTGGTTGATTTTTTTTAATCCTCACCTGAGGATATTTTTTTCCATTGCTTTTCAGAGAATGAGGGAGAGAAAAAGGAGAGAAGAAAGAAACATCAGTGTGAGAGAGACACAGTGATTGGTTGCCTCCCGCACACAGCCCAACGGAGGCTGAGGGATCATGCCTGTAGCCAAGGTACATGCCCTTGGCTGGAATCGAACCTGGGACCCTTCAATCCCAAGGCCGACGCTCTAACCACTGAGCCAAACCAGTTACAGCCATTGGTTGACTCTTGTATGTACCCTGACCAGGGATCAAACTTGCAACCTTGGTGTATCAGTACAACGCCTAACCAACAGAGCTACCGGGATCAGGCATGAGTTGTAATTTTAAATAGAATGATTAAGGGTGACCCCATTAAGAAGGTGTCATTTAGCCCCACCAGCATGGCTCAGAGGTTGAGCATTGACCTATGATCCAGGAGATCACAGTTCGATTCCTGGTCAGGGCACCTGCCGGGGTTGCAAGCTTGATCCCCAGTGGGAGATGTGCAGGAGGCAGCAGATCAGTGACTCGTCATTGATGTTTCTATTCTCTCTCCCTTCCTCTCTCTGAGATCAAAGACATATTTTTAAAAATAAATAAAAAGGTGACATTTAATCAAGATTGGGAGAATGTAAGGGAGTTTGCCATGAAGATAACTGGGGAAGTATACCAGGCCGAGGGAAGAACCGATGTGAAGGCGTTTTCACAGAAGTATATGTGATGAGTTAAAGGACAGCAAAGAGGCCACTGCAGCTGGGGATAAGTGAGGAGGAGAGTAACACAGGTAAGATCAGAGGGGAAATGAGGAGCCACATCATGTGGGGCCTTTTAAAGCCATGTGAGGCTTTGGCTTTTACTCTGAATGACATGAGTTGTTGCAGGGTTTGGACTAAAGGTTACATTATCTGATTTCTATTTTAAAAGGATCATTCAGTTGCTGTAGTCAGAACAGATCGTAGAGGCCTAGGATAGAAGCAGGGAGATAGGTGACGAGGTTTTTGCAGTAATCTAGCAAGAGGTGACCAAGGTGGTGACTAATAAATAGTTGGATTATACACATACATATATATGTATACATAGATACATACACATATACATATATATTTTTTTAGGGGGGGGGAGAGAAACATCGATGTGAGAGAGACACATCAATTGGTTGCCTCCTACTCAAACCCCTGGGGAGCAAACCTACAACCTAGGTATGTGCCCTTGACCAGGAATCGAACCCAAGACCATTTGGTGTGTGGGCCGTTGCTGTAATGGCTGAGGCACACCGGCCAGGGCTGAATGTGTTTTGAAGACAGGACCAACAGGATCAATTACTTGATGAACTAAATGTAGGGTATGAGAGAAAAAAGTTTATCATGATAACTCCAGGCTTTGGATACAAGCAACTAAAGAGATTCATGGCCTTCCCTAGAAATAGGGCTGGTTACTCGAAGTTTTAGGAGGAAAATAAATTGCTCACTGTTGGACACTTCCAAGAAGAAGCGGGTAGTTAGATATCTAAGTGGAGAGAGTGAGCAGGCGGGTGGCTATATGCAGTTTTTTGGGTTTTTTGGTTTTTTAAAAATATATCTTTATTGATTTCAGAAAGAGGAAGGGAAAGGGAGAGAGAGATAGAAACATCAATGATGAGAGAGCCATTGATTGGCTGCAGTCTGCAACCCGGGCACGTGCCCTGACTGGGAATTGAACCCCAATCTCCTGGATCCTAGTTCAACGCTCAACCGCTGAGCCACACCTGGCTGGGCTATGCAGTTTATGAGACAGGTCTTGGCCAAGAGTAGGCAGAATTGGACTGTGCGGCTGGGTAAGGAGTGTGTGTAAAGAGGAGAATCAAGCACTGAGTCCTCCTCTGAACTTCAGTCTTAGTCCCGGGGAAACTGAATAGGAGCACAGCTGGTAAGATAGGAGGAAAAAGTAAATGGATACGGTGTCCTAGGAGCCAGGAAAAGAAAATGAGATTAAAAAAGAGGGATCAGCTATGACAGATTTTGCTTTTAGGCCAACTGAGATGAGAGCTGCAAATTTAATTGGAGTGTTTAGTTCATTAACATTTAATGTAATTTTTATTAAGGTTGCATTTAGGCCTACCATTTTACTATTTGCTGTTTTTCCCTTTTGTTATTTGTTCCTATGTTCCTCCTTTAATGTCTTTTGAGCGATTGAATTTTTATTTAGAATTTCATTTAAATTTGTCTGTTGGTATTTTAGCTCTCTATGTCTTTGCTTTTTTGTTACAGGGATTACATTATGTATCATTAACATACCCACAGTATCTAGCAGAGCACTTTTACCATGATCATGTGAAACTGGGTAACCACCTACATTTGTATAAAGCAGGTTTCCCTCCATGACCCATCAGCAGCCTCACTTATTTAATTGGGCAAGGTATAGAAAACAGGTTCCTGGCCTTGAACCTGAAGATTCTGATTCCATAGATGTGAGTGGAATGTCCTTGAGAAAAGTGCAAGTGAAGGACCTAAGGTGTTACATTTGATCAAAGGCTGGATTGATTGGAATAGTGCCATCCCTTTCAGATAAATGGCTCAGAAGGAATTTTACAGTAGAATGAAGTCTATAAGGGAAATAACAAAGGAGAGAAAACTTGTGGGCAGCCACATGCACAAGAAATTAAAATTTTGAAAGGATGAATTTAAAAAATAGATACATTCTTCTGTTTGTTTTCTGGATGCCCGTGGATCTGCATTTGTGCACTGTCTTCAGAAACTACTGATTGATTCCAAAGTTCAGTATGTAGATTCCTTGGCTCCACCCTAGAATCTCTAGAGGTAAAACCTAAGAATTTGCATTTTTGAGATGCTCAACAGGTGATTCTTATTTTTTCTAAGGTATGCAAATTTCTGATCTAATGTTAGTCATCCCCCCACCCCACCCCAGTTGTAAATAAAAAATTTCAAGCTACAGAAAAGTTGGGAGGATAACAAGGAACCAACTATATTCCTTTCACCTGGATCTGCCAACTGTTAACATTTTATCACCTTTGATCCCTCTTGTTCTTGCTCTCTCTTTTGTTCTGAATCATTTGAAAGTAAGTGAAAACATGATGACATTTTATCCCCAAATACTAAACATCCATCCTCCAAGAAGAGGTGTTGCCCTGAACAGCCACGATACCGTTATCACACCTGAGCAAACTAACCATTTTCCAACTATCCAGTATTCAGTCCATACTCAGATTTCCCCAACTGTTCTAAAACTGCTTTTAGCTTTTCTTCTAAATTTTTAAGGCCCGGGCAACATTCACACATTGCATTTATGTCTCTTTAGTTTTCCTTCTGCTTTGTTTTTTGTGTCATTGACTTTTTTTTTTAAGAGGCCCGTGTCTCTTGTAGAAAGTCCTGCATATGTACTTGTCCAGTGTTTCCTCTTGATTAGATTTAGGTTAAATATTTTTGGCTGGCTATATATAGGCAATCATATCCATCAGCACTTGATGAGCTTATCCGCTTATTGGTTATGGCAGGTTTGGTCACTTGTTTAAGGTGATGACAGTCAGACTAAGTCATCCGTGGAGTGATACTTTGAGTCCATGCAAATGTCCAGTTTCTCAGCCCTATGATGTTTGTTCCTTGCGTGACTCATGTGAGATTGTGTACAGCAAATGGTAATTTTTTATTTCTCTTAGTTCTGTATTTATTAGCTGGCATTCTTCTGGAAAGAAGGAGCTGTCTCTTTATTTTTTTTTAAAGTGATTTGAGAGAGAGAGAGGAATGGAAGAGGGGAGAGAAACATCGATTTGTTGTTCCATTTATTGTGTTTAATTTTTTAGAGAGAGGAGGGGAGAGAGAGTGAGAGAAACATTGATTAGCTGCCTCCCACGTGCTCCCTGACCAGGGCTTGAACCCGAAACCTAGTTATGTGCCCTGACCGGGAATGGAGCCCACCACCATTTGGTATACAGGATGACTCTCCAACCAACTGAGCCACACCGGCCAGGTCCGTTGTTCCACTTATTCATGCATCATTGGTTAATTCTTCTATGTAACCTACCAGGGATGAAACCCACAACCTTGGTGTATCGGGACAACGCCCTAACCAACTGAGCTACGAGGCCAGGGCGAGGAGCTTTCTCTCTCTAAAATCACTATGGATAATAGTAATTTCTTTTTTATATTCAGTGTGTTATACTCCATTACCATCGATACTCTTTATTACTGAGTTTGGCCATACCAGCAGCATAAAGGCAGTTTTTGTACCCTCTTGAACATAACCCAGTTACCCTCAGTCATTGTCAAGTTTTGAGGAAACAAACTTGAAAACTAAAATCCCACATCTCATCACGGTCCCATAACCCTTCCAGTTCTCGGCTCCCTGTCTTTCTCGGTTCAACCTCCTGTTTTTCGTTGTTCCCGACTTCACTCCCCTTCCAGTCCTCTGGGCTCCGTGCCTCCCTCAACAGTTTCGTCATTTATCCTTTGTTAGCGAGACTCAGGCTTCCTAGCGCTTGACTCCCTGCCCTACAGCTCTCTCTCTGTGACGTGCTTCTGTGCCCCTCACGTAGACTTTTCCCTTTTCCCTTTCTGCCAGCCCTCTCCTTCTCAAGCCATTGTTTTCTGCCCCTTTCATTTTCGTTTCCTAACTCCCCTACTCGCTCGTTCCTCTCAGTATCCCAGTGATTTGTAGTTTTTTCACCACCCGTGTTCCCTTCTATTACTTTCATGCATGAACTCTCACTTAAAATCTTTTATATGCTAGATTGCATTTATTATTTTTCCATTTTTGTTAAGCAAAGCCAGTGTGAGCTTTACTGGCTAGGAGGTGACAAATGCACCCACACTGAGAAATGTCATTACAGTCAAAAGCTAGGAAACCTGATACTTTAGCTTCTGCAACATAAATAGGGAATCAGGTACAGTCCAGGCTCCCGCACTTGGACAGAGATTGGCTCACAGTCCTCATGACACAGGACCTCGGGCTTGCAGCCACTGCCTAGCCTTTCCTCTCACTTTCTAGCTGGATTGCCTGGCTCCACCAACTTTTCTATCCTCACAGCTTGGAAAAGTCTCTGCTCCCAGGGACTACCTTTGCAAAGACCCAGGTTTGTATTTGTTTTTTAGGACTGCAAATACAGGATTTCCTGACTGGAATGGTCTGTGAACTTTTCCCCCATTACAAATGCAATACATATTTATTAGACAAAATTCAATAAATACTGACTTAACTTTGGATGGTGAACACACAATACAAGATACAGATGATGTATTATAGAATTGTACACCTGAAACTTACATAATTTTATTAACCAGTGTCACTCCAATAAATTCAAAAAAATTTTTTTTAAATTACTGATGAGGAAATATTATAACAGTTAATATTTGGGGGTTCTTAGTACAGGTTGAGCACTTTATGTTTGTTAACTCAGGTAAGACTGACAACCAGAGAGGTAGTTTTGTGTTATCCCTCATTTTTCCTTTTCAGTTGAAGAAAATGAGATTTGAGGTTAAATGACTGGCTTAGGGTCATCAGCTAATAAGTTGCAGAACTGATTTTTCTAACAAGAACCAAGACTTGTTTATATTACCCTTCTAGAGCTTTTTCTATACACAAATATATACACACAAGAATGGGATCATATTGTATATAAATACTTTGTTTGTTTCAAATTATAGGAGAAAGTTTATTTAGAAAGTTACAGAGGTAGTAGATGTGAGCCAGCTGAGCTGCGTAGGCTCAGGAAACAAGTTATAAGGCAGAAGGACCCTTGGAGCTTAGGAGAGAGAAAGGCAGAGGTAATGTGCCTGGGGGCGGGGAGAGGGGGGAAGGGAAAGACACACCTAAACACTTTTACTAGCACGACTGTGACGTTCTGCCCATGTCAGTAAATATGCTTCAGTTGCATTCTTTCTAATCCAGTGTCCTGTTTCCTCTCCTCCCTGCCTATCCCCAGGATCGATGAGAACGTGATGGGAGCCCAGCTGGATGTTGAGGCCGCCCATTCAGAGATCCTCAAGTACTTTCAGTCGGTTACCTCCAACCGGTGGCTCATGGTCAAAATCTTCCTCATCCTCATTGTCTTCTTCATCATCTTTGTGGTCTTCCTTGCCTGAACCCTCTCCACTCTGAGGCACTCCGTGGGGGTTTAGAACCTACCTGGGAGGGCAGGTGGCCAGTGCTGCCATTGAGCCTGTGCAGGGTGCTTGAGAGAAAGGCCCTGTTTTCCTGGAACTGCTAAGAATGGCCACTGCCCCTGATCCCCCACCCTTTGCCTCTGGCTGGCCACCCTGTCCTCCCCTCACCACCCTCAGGCCCATGAAACACACACGGTTCTGGATCTGGACACTGCTGTGAAGTGGCTGGAAAGGAGCAGCAGCCACCTGGGGGGTAGGTGGGGGAGGTTGTCTCCACTAGGAGATTTTTATAAACCCTTCCCAGCCTCTTCCCAAAGAAACTTCGGCAGCAAGGGGAGATGATGCCCTTCCTCACATCCTGAGAGGAGAGGAAGTGAAACTGCCCCAGGGACCAACTTTCCCATCTGGGTTAGAACTTGACCTCTTTATTCTTCCTCCTCACTATGTGAGGCAGGGGCCCTGAGCACCTCGGCGGCCTGTACAACCCCAATTTTGGCTGCTGGTGACTCAGTCTGCCAAATGCGCTGCAGCCTTTTTCTCCCAATTACAGCAAGACTGTCAGCCTCACTAGCCATGTTGTCATTTCTGGGTGGGAGCGTCGAAGGGCCTAGGCAACAAGTGGAGTGAGCCCATTGTCCAGTTCAAGAACTGAAAGGGTTGGGCCAATGGCTCTGAGGGGCCAGGCTTTGGGCTCTGTGCACAGTGGCCTCCTAGGCAGGACAACCAAGGGCAGCAGCACTTCATTAGCATGGCAACTTCCCTTCAAAGGGGCCAGCAGGACCTCAGAGTGCATCCCTGATTGGTGGCAACTTCCAGGACCATCTCCAGCAGTATTTGGACCTGTTTCATCTGCATCCTCTAACTGGTTGGTCCCAATTTTTCCTTGAGCTGGATGAAGCAGGAGCTCTGTCTGCTGCCAGGAGTCAAAAGTGAAGTGAAGAATTTGTCCCCAGCTCCAGCTGAGGGTCTTGGTCCCTCCAAGCCCCTTACCAACTAACTCCAAGCCAGTCACAGGAAAGTGAGAGACCTGCCTGGAATACCCACCCTCCAGGGAGGTGAATATTCTTTGTCACTCCCGACCGGGACCCACAACCACATCATTGTGAGGTCACTGAAGTCCTCCCATGTCAACAAAAAGGAAGCTCAAGCTATAGAAACAATCACCATGTGCTGGCTTGGCCCTAATACTCTGCAGGGCCTAGGAGAGCCCAGGTCTTTTCTAGCCCTGGCACTTCCATATTTCCTTTCCCCTGGGCCTCTGTTCAGCAAGTGGTCTTGCTGGAATCTTCACTACCCAGTTGACACACCATGTGGGCCTAGCACAGCACATCTGTGGTGGGTGGGTGTCTGAAGACAGGTGCTCACTAAAGCCTGACAAATCAGTCGTTTGACTGCAAGGCTTCGTGGCGGGGATGCATAGACAAGAAATTCGCTTATTTCACAAATATTTGTTGAGTTCCTGCTATGTGCCAAGCATGGTACTGAGCCAGGTGCTAAAGAAACAAGCCATGAATTGGTTAAGGTCCCTGCTCTCTCTGAGAGCTTACGACTAGTTCTCTATTTCTTGGCAATTCATTTTATGGGGAAAAGCTAAACATAGATCCAAATCTGCAGCTGAGAGGGCTGAGCTGAAACAAAAACTGGCTGCTTCCCTCTAGGGGTCTGGAAGCGGTCGCTCCTGCTCCGACGCCTGGGTCTCCCATTGCTAGGGAGCCCTTCGTATGGGCCCCACTTCCCGTTCCTTTCGGAGTCCTGGGCTACTGTAGCCTTCCCTCTGCTCCAGCGATCCCCCGGGAGGTGCCGGCGC